CTTCACAGTACAACTGCTTTGTAAGTCACTATACGTGAATTGAGTTGTAAAAGTGAGGAGGTAAAGACTTTGGAAAAATTTCGTAATGTACCTTATGTGGGAGCTCGTGTTTTTCCTGTAAAGTGCCACTTTGCTGACTCTCGTCTCCATTGGCATGAACATGTAGAGCTCACTGGCAGTCTGTCGAATATTTTGGTATTTCTGACAACGAAAGGAGAAAGAAACTGTTGTGACAATAGTTTTCACACAAAATAGGCGATCATTAAACAACGGTGATGAGAATCATCTTTTTTCCTGCGGATTTCTACATGTATGTCCACAAACAATGTGGTTCTGCTGACGTCATTGATAAGCGGTTATGATCTTCTGTATTTTGCAGATTGATCACCTTGGTGGATTTTCTAGCCACATCTCTGTCACCAGTTGAGAACGAGACCAAGCTAGTCATACACAGTGATAACCTCGCGTTAGCCGTGCTCTGTCCTACAGAACCAGTGTCGCAAGGATTACGTGCCAGTTCCGACACCGGTGTCTATCTGCTAGGCTCCACGGAAAATATCACAAAAGAGGGTGAGCGCCATCTGACTAATAACCAATAGACTGTATGATAAGTTATGTTACAAAGAATGACAGAGCCGGGGTGACGAGCCCTCCGGGTAGTAAAGTTACTAATACGTCGGGACATCCCTAGGCCTCCTAGAAGTTCCATTCCTCAGAAACTCCCCACATTCTCATAGTGAAATCAAAGTGAACAGTGCAGTTTGGATTGAACTTGTATCAATTTTAGGATTGCAGAGCGGTGCAACAACACATGAATACTTCCTGCAGAATTAAACTCGATGACCCTTTTATTCATGTATCGGACAATGAGTACATTTGTAAAGTATTTACCTCTTCACGCTCATCAGACATTCGATATCTGTGAAAGGGTAAAATCAGACCTTTGAATGACGGCATGTGCTTGATAGAATGATAATTATTGTCTGTGGTGCTGGTTGCAGGAGATGTAAAGGCCCTGGCAGTTGATATTGCGGCTAGTACTATTGTCGAGGCAACGGACGAGCTCGCCTTGGCTGGCCAAGAATACTATTGCCCACTTGCTCAGCCTAGTTTTGTCGTTTACAATGTCACGGACTTGTTCAACGACACCACACTTGACAACTCGACTTTCCTGGCCACACAGGTGGTGACGGTAAACGTGGGGAAAACCCCACGGCCAAACTTGACGGATCCAGTTCTGTTGGCATTTCCCTTCAATCGTTTTGGGCTGGTAAGGGTATGTGTGTCTGTATGTCTGGTGGCAAGTATTTTAATCAAGAGCATTCCTGTAACAATTCCTCTTGGTGGGTCAATAGACAGCTGTGTCTAAAGTCTAAACAGTTATAATTATACATTGAAAGATATGCTGGCAACGAGAGAATGAGAGGGAATCGCTTGACTTGTAACTCAAGTTTATATTGTTGGTGACCCAGTTGAAAAATCAATGACAGTTGACTTGAAGCATGATGCAAGATGAATTGCTACTGCTATGCGGACTCTTACAATTCACCCTGGTATTACGTTCCACATTAAATTTTGTCTAGCATGACTTCATAATTATATTTACCTCAATTCATTGTTTTCCGAAGAAGAAAATTAAAAATAGAAAGTTGAGCCGTTGGCGTAGTAGTTCAAATACGTGTGATGGTTCCCACGAATGTGTTATGAAGTTAAAGGTTCTGGTTGTCATAGCCAGATGCATGCAGGTTTAATTGTGAAGGCTGCATGAATGACAGGACGCCACCACCCCTCTTGACCACTGGTATTTGTTTGTTTCCCTTCCTAGGACCTGACGGAAATCAATGCAAGCTGCGTATTCTGGGATAATGCTACAGGTGACATTTTAGAGGAAACATACGCCTATTAATGGTCGGACGCTCCTCATAGCGATTGGTAATAATGAATCAGGCTGCACAATTGGTCAGTGTCGTGTAATATATACATGTACGCATGAGCTGATTGTCCAGTAAAATGGATGTATTAGTGGAGTCAGAGCTTGACTTGTAGTTCCTCCGCCCTGCCTTCCCTATACATTGTTCAACTTGTATAATATTACTGCCCACCTAATACGTTCAACATCACGGTGATGGCATGGCTGCACGGGATATCGCTGTGAGTGGGCATTGGAAGGAGAACTACAGGCAATACAGGCAATAGCTTTTCACCGCATTACACGTACAATGCGTTATCAAATCCAAGTGTGCGTGTGTGTGTATATGTGTGTATGTGTGTGCGTGTGTGTGCGTGTGTGTGTGTGTGTGTGTGCGTGTTTGCGTGTGTGTGTGTGCGTGTGTGTGTATATGTGTGTGCGTGTGTGTGTGCGTGTGTGTGTGCGTGTGTGTGTGTGCGTGTGTGTATGCGTGTGTGTGTATGTGTGTGTGCGTGTGTGTGTGTGTGTGCGCGTGTGTGTGTATGTTTGTTTGCGTGTGTGTGTGCGTGTGTGTGTGTGTGTGTGTGTGTGTGTGTGTGTTTGACTATCATGCATTATTGTAATCACAGTGTCTTGGAGCACAGAAGGCTGCAGGACAGTGTCCGTGACATCACGCCACGTTAGGTGCCAATGTGATCACCTGACCAACTTCGCAGTACTTGTGGTATGTACTGAATACAGTGCTTTATCCCTAGAACGATAACGACTAACTCATGAATACCACCACAGTCTTTCTCCAGTACTTGCCCATTGGTGACGTTTGCACGGTTTGAAAGACCTAGGGTTTATGATCACCATGCACAAGTTGACCACTATATTCAGCCTGGCTTGTGACCTGGGTAGAACTAGGGAATGTCAATGACCCTGGATGGAAACACTGGGTGGCCAGGACAGGAAAAAACCCTCATATCTAGATCCACCGAAGAGATGATTGACCTGCACTGATCAGATGTCATCAGCAAGGGTGGCAATCAAAAAGTCCCAACAACCAACATGGCATACCGAGCAAAGAAAATGTTTTTGAACTTACATGGGTGTAGTGTTGTAACTGCCCTGACTATAACCAATCTTGCTCACTAGGTAATTGCTCTGTTGAAGCTATCGCGAAAATCCATCTTGTAGAAAGCCGCTTCTAATTTCTTCGTGACCTTAGTTCCAGATTTCCTGTTGCTTTTGTATAAGTGCTGTTATCTAATTCCAAAACATCTTATCTTCATGCGTCTTCCTATCTGTAGTCTCGATCGATAGCCAATTCCATTAGACCTTTGACCCAGGCCGAACGAGTTATGAACATGAGCACATACATCGGAATGGGGATTTCAGTTCTGGGTTTGGTGATCGCCACGATAATCATACTTACATCAAGGTAAGATTTTAACCTCTCATTGGAACCAAATACATGTACTTCGAAGTACATGTACTTACAAACCGTTTCGTTTTCCCTCCCAACCTGTCCTTATTCTATGTCCGTGGTTGGCTATCACCCACTGCCTTCACATTGGCCCGTGTTTGCACTGAGTCTTGAGATGTAATAAAGAAATAATTATTATTTAATAACAAAACCAGCTCATGATCGTGATCTGCTCCTTTACAGCTTGCAGGTTCACATGCAGTTGGTTTTATCCCGGCTCGGAATACATGAACTACTTCACCAGCCAAACATAATGGTCTATAGCCTGTTTCACAGAGGTTTGTAACTACGGGAAATCCCCGGTGCATACATCTCTAACACATGTACGACCTAGAAGACTAAGGCACAGGTATTTTCTACATAAACGACAACATACCACTAGGAACAGGTGCACGGGCAGCAACTATTAATTTTGTCAGTGGTTCTTGCCTCTCGTTTTCTTCGTTGCACTGTGCGGCTGTCGTTTGAGATGAAATTCGAATCCAATTACACATGGCCTTCTGATGCAATGACACAGGTTGTAATGCGAAGAGCATGACCCAGATGAGTGCACCTGCTGTAACGTGCATTGATTTGACCAAGGGCTTTTCTTGAATTTGCCTCCTTTTTTCTCAGTTCAATGTGCAGCAAGGCCCACTACCGCATTATCCTGGCCCTGTGCTTCAACCTTCTGCTGATCTATGCAATCATCTATGGTGGTATGCGTTCCACGTCGCGTCCCACTCTCTGCTACGCTGTCGCTGTGCTCTTGCATTACCTCATTCTCACCATGTTCGCCTGCACGTCGGCCGATGCCACCATGACGTACGTGAAGCTGGTCAGGGTTGTCGGGGCTCAGCCGTCCTCACTCCTGTGCAGGCTTCTCTCTGCCGTCCTCGGTGAGCAGCTACTGTATAACACGTTTATTTCGGTGTAACTTTAATTTCGGTCAAAAAACCAGGCACCTAAATTCAGATTACGCCTAAAAGGCGCTGGAGTATGCACTGTATGTGAAGGGTAAGCTGGTCACCTAGTCCTACATTACACCTGAAACCTAACAGGACTCTGACACCGAAATGTGTGTACACCTAAAATTACATGTTATACAGCATACACTGTAGCTTCTGCTGTGCAATGGCCATTCCGTTGAAAGTTAAAGGGGAAATCCACGGAAAAATGAAAATTTGATATCCTGTAGAGTTTCGGGCGCTAAGTCGAATGGTCTTGGTCCGAAGTCTCTACGAGAAAGCGTTCTTGAGATATTTCAATTATATCCACGCCCCCATACCAATGTATGTGTGACGTCATTGTGGCATGGTGCGAAAATACTTGGATTTGGAATCTCACTTTCTTCAGGACGAAAGTTTGTGACATTATCCAAGACCTTCACAGCCACGGTCTTGATGCATTGTCACTGCCTTCCCCAGCCCCGCCAATGCCATTCCCTTGTCCACCATATTCATGATTATTTTGTAAGAAAGGGTTCGCTCCCCCCCACGCTCCCCACTTCCTCAGCCTACTCGACCCCAACTGATGAGGGGGGAATTCCCCGAAACACTGTGTATTGAGCAGGTAGTGGTGCTTTCTTGCAGGTTTGCCGAGTCGAAGGTTCGACGGACTTCTCGTGTGCTCTGGATGGCAGTCGTGAGTCAGTCAAGTGTCAAGTCAAGTCGGCGGAATAGCGCCAGCTCCGGCGTGGGGAGCGAACCCTTTCTTACAAATCATCGCTGAAGTCGCAACAACTATTTCATATTCATGAATCTGTTACTTTGACGGTTTTGTGCAGGACTTCCATTGCTGATCGTTGTCATTACTGCAAGCGTGTCAAAGATGACAGCATACAAGCCCAAACAGTTGTAAGTTGCACTTTTTATTGATCTTCATGTACTTAGAAATTGACAAGCTCGCTGAGGGACTTGGTAATGAGACTGTTGATAAATAGATTTAAATTACAAATTTGACGCTTCGGATCTTTGACCCATCGTCAGAATCTCAAAGGATGAATCTGAGTATGCCTGTGGATATCCTTGTGGACGATACGTTTCACTTGGTGCGTCTAGGTGGCCATGAAGTCGAGACCCTAGGTCGGCGGAGCTCCCTAAACCTCACCACCACTGCCACGATTCAGGTTGTGCGTGCTTCCCCTAGCTGCATCTCATGTTTGGCATTTAAGTGGTCTTTGTAAAAAGAAATTAAAAAATATTGGCTCAACATCCGAGTTTAAAAACACTTTTGCTATTTCTGAAACGGTGTGAATGCTCCCCTTTCTCTTGTCCATTCTGTAGCTGCTGGATGACTGGACATAATGCCTTTTACGTGTCTTTTGTTGCTCCCATGGCTCTGTCGCTGCTGTACAACATGTGCGTGCTCGGACTGGTAGTTCGGTCTTTACGACAACGTCAGGGTGACGCACTGACGGGCAGCAGGATGGGTAAGGCAACAAGAGGGCTATCTCTGCTGCGTACCATCGTCTTCCTGTCAATCCTGTTCGGCCTGACATGGACAACCGGCGTACTCGTTATCATCTATGACCACCTCGCATTGCAGTACCTGTTCGCGATACTCAACTCTCTTCAAGGTTTCTTGTTGTTTCTCTACATAAGCCGGGATAAGGACACGCAGCGTCGTTTGACGCAGAAAGTATCGACCTTGTTTTCTTTGTCAAAGCCATTGCCATCACAGAATGCAAAGAAGAAGTCGCCCATTGATGTAGCGAAGAGCCAGAGCGATATCATTGAAAACGACCAATACGAAATTCAGCTGGTTCTCGGCAATCATGGGCAGAAAAGCGACGAATGCAGCCTTGAAGCCTCCACCAGCAGCACAACATCCGAGCAGGAACAACGGCGAGCAAGCACAATCACATTTGCTACTGCCTCTGCGAGAACAAGCAGCAGTTCAACGCAAGCAACAGCACTCAGCGCACGCTTGAGCGTCCCCAGCATAGCTGTAGGACCAGTTAGCCACTGATGCTTGACGTAGTCGAGGGTGACCCGTCCGCTGATGCGCGATAAGAGAGTTCCAGAGGAAAGATCGCATCTGCATGGGAACCTTGGAGGAACATTTATGTGATGTAATGTGCAATTTCTTCCCGGGAAAAAAGAAGATTGTTGCCATACGTTCATGCACATGCATTGCCAAGCTGCAAACCTACGTGACATGAATGTCATATGGACGTGCAGTCTTTCAACTCAGCGCCATTGCCCCACACGCATTTCTTAACCCGTGAACACAGACTTTGAACACCTCGCCGCTCCACGATGCTAGCACAGCATGTCCACCTGTTTGCCTTTCAGTTTTAGTTCCTAGTTTCCATAGTAACCACGCCTGACATACGTACATGTAGTTGTTCTCTCACAAAATATTAGAGTGTAGATCATTTGAACTTTTCTTTTTTTCTTTTGAGTTATCTTCTTTCTTTCTTCTTTCTCATACATGTACATGTATGTCTAGTACTTTTCTTTTGTTGATTTGGCCGTGGTTGGCTATCACCTCTATCTCATTCAATATTGGCATTGCTTGCCACGAGATGATGATGCAATAATTAAATAAATAAATAAACTTCGTGGCATATCATGTTCTTGTCTTTCATTGCGCATTCCCCTCACTCTCTTACATTCCCTTACACTCTTACATTCCCTTTGCCTCTGGCCGGCTCACTCACTTACTCAATCACTCACACTCCCACTTGCTCGCTCGCTCCTCTCGGCCCTCCATCCCTCTCCCACATTCACTCACTGACACGCACGCACACACACACGCACGCACACGCACACAGACACACACATATGCACCCAGACGCACGATCTCTCTCATTCTCTCAATCTACCTATCACTCTCTCTATCTCCGTGACACATACTCTCTCTCTCTGTCTCCCCTTCACTTGGTATAAACCACCTTCTCCCAGAAGGTACGGGTCTCTCTTCATAACTCGAAGGCTCCACTGCAGCCAATCAAGCATCTCTCCAAACACAATAATTATATTACTGCTGCTGAGCAAGCTTTGATTTCATTGTAATGCTGCCTAATACGCCTCAAGGCCGAAACTTTAGAGACTGTTTTAATTTCAGTGGCATTGGATGACCGTGGTTGTGAAGGCATTGGAGACGGGTCTAGGTGATCAATATGGTGGATTCCTCTACAGATTTGGATAGAAATTTGTTTTCATCTGCAGGTCTTTTACTTTGTCAGTTACTTTATCCCTTACAACTGAGGGTAATTCTAATTAACTCCCATTGTCAAGTTACTGCACTTCTTTTTGTACACGCAGGCCGCAGGCCGCTTGTTGGCAGCACAGACTGTATATACAGTAAAATCTGTCAAGGCTACCACTCTGAAAAGGCGACCACCTGTCCTAGAGGACCACTGCAACTCAGTAGGACCAACGAGTGCTATTTACCGTCAAATGACCCTGGATAGGGAGGCCACCTGTGCATGGAGACCACATTTTGTAGGTCCCTGGAGCGGTCGGCTTAGATAGGTTTCCCTGTACTTCAGTATTACAGTAAAACCTGGTGTACGCGACCTCTGGGGCTAGCGACCACCTGCTCTTAACGACCGTTTTCCATGCACCGACAGTTCAATGCAGACACTGTGGGACCTGGTTCTAAAGACCACCTGGCTTTAGCGACCGCTTTTGCTTGCACCGTGGGGTGGTCGCTTAAACCAGGTTTTACTGTATAATAGAGATCTCATTAGGCCTTGGCGGATAATGCCGGCAGAAAAATTGGCAGAATTCGGTACTTTTTCTGGTAAGTTTCATGCATGTTTGGTATGTGGATAAAGAAATGGAGCAGAATTCGAGGAATTGCCCGCCATAAGGTTTGTATGGTTCTGCCAATTTCGGTGCAAAAAAGCAGAATCTGCCACCTTTTCGAGCATTATCCGCCAAGGCCTAGATCTCATACTGTTTACCCGCGCTAGATCTCCTTGCTATCCAGTACAATCAGTCATGATAAATGCAGTCAGCGGTCGCGTCTGCTTTTCGTAGCGCATCAATATGAAATTCGGATGGTGAGCCAATTATTTTTACTTATGGTAAAAGAGGAGAAGGAAAAAAGTTACGAACTTTGACTAACTGTGTGTCCAGCAACGTAACCATGGTAACCAGATCATAATACAGTCGGCGAGTGTGACAAAATGGAACAAAACTGACAAAGGAGTACTGAGATATTCAGCGACCTGACACCTAGCCCCAACACCTCTCCAAGGCGCAAACCAACAACCTTCCAACTGTTACTTGGAAGGCTCAGGCTTAGTTTACGATCATGTACATGATTTTTTTTTTTTACCAGTTTATTTACTATTATTTTTTTTTGTAAATTGACCAAAAAGAAACAAAGAAAATACATGATTATGCACGTACAGTGTACACGCGCACGTCATTTACAGTGTAGTTCTGTACAGTGCGTACATGTATACAGTACGTACATGAGTACGAGGTCAATAGGAAATAAAAGCCGAGTAAAAGACCGAGGCGAAGCCGAGGTCTTTTACGAGGTTTTTATTTCCTATAATTTAGACCAAGTACGAAGTCAATATTAGATTTATCACGACAAACAGTCCGTATTTCAAATTCCAGAACGATAACCTCATGAATCTCGGTTTTATGATTGCATAACCGTTGCACCACCACCTACTCATGCAGTGACAATGCTGCACAAGGCACCGTTCAACTGCGCAACCCATAAGCAGTCAAATATAAGCAGTCAATATAGCCCTAAGGAGTGAAATATGCAGGAATATTTGACTGCTTAGGTATAGCGAAAATCAATGGGAGTCAATCTGTGTTGGTGATCTGACTCTGTAGATGCCGTTCTTTATCTACTCGTACATACGTGCATGTACACCGCCCCCATCGGTCTTTGGCACGGTCGAACAACACAGTGAGTGCTTTTATCTGTAGGCACTAAGCAGAGTGCTGTCATTTGGCAATAGTAGCTAGATGGAGTCGAGTACAGTGGGTAGTGGGTAGTCTAAAAATCCTGTTTCGCAAAAATCAAACATTCTCCTCCCAACGTCTCTACAGTTTAGCTTCAGTATCTCCCCTCTTAGAGCGACACCAGCAACATCTTTGCATCCTTGTACACATGATCTTATTAGACCTGGCTCCAAAACACTTTGCTAAGTATAACTGGTTTGTGTCCACCAGATCAACACGTCATTCCTTCTCATTACCCCGTGCCAATACCTCCCTGTTTCTGAAATCTCCTATCTTCTCTGCGTACACTCTCGTCTTCCCTGCCAACTAGCCTTAAAGCATGCACAGACATTAAGGAGTTCAAGCTTCAGCTTCTTCGTCCTAAATAATCTCACCATTTTCGTCATGCCTCCCCTTGCAGTACTCTCTTTGTTTCTCTCCTTATTATTCAGTTCGCCGTGGTTGGCTACCACCCGACTTCTCATATATATTGGCAGTCTTCTGACGAGCCAGGAGATGTTGAATTAATAATAATAATAATAATAATAATTGTGGAAGAGAAAAGGACATATGGATACGAGTTAAGAGTAACTCTCCATCACTGTAACATGATACTATATACAGTCAGAAAGTGCAATAACTAGGCACAAAACTGACAGAGTACTGAAACATTCGACGTCCTGACACCTAGCTTCAACACATCTCCACAATCGACATTCTTTGTTCCGTTGGGACTGTAGCTTTTGCTCGTTTTCGTTGCGCTTGCCTTCCCCTCTTTGGTCTTTTCCATAACCTTGAACCTTCCAAGTTGGAAGGCTGTCGGTTAGCGCTACGGAGATGTGTTGAAGCTAGGTGTCAGGACGTCGAATGTTTCAGTACTCTGTCAGTTTTGTGCCTAGTTATTGCACTTTCTGACTGTATATAGTATCATGTTACAGTGATGGAGAGTTACTCTTAACTCGTATCCATATGTCCTTTTCTCTTCCACATTTATTTATGGCTCAACATCCGAGTTTCAAATAATAATAATAGTCAATATTTTATGACTTGGGGCTCCCCGCGTGCTAGTTTGTACGTGAAGTGTGTGGGTTACAGTGAGGGCTGCGTCCCACCCCCCTGTGTGGATTCACAGGAAGTGTGAGTTACGAAGTCTGAAGAAAATGTTGGACGGCCTCTGCTGGGATGACGACTACACCATAGCTCAGTGGTTAGAGCACCGCTGGCTACAAGCGAGGGTCCCTGGTTCGAGTCCTGGTGGTGACAGTCAATTTTTCTTCAGACTTTTCCCGTTTGTCTCTTTCCCTCAAATCAGTCAATATTGTATGACTTGGGGCTCCCCGCGTGCTAGTTTGTACGTGAAGTGTGTGGGTTACAGTGAGGGCTGCGTCCCACCCGCCTGTGTGGATTCACAGGAAGTGTGAGTTACGAAGTCTGAAGAAAATGTTGGACGGCCTCTGCTGGGATGACGACTACACCATAGCTCAGTGGTTAGAGCATCGCTGGCTACAAGCGAGGGTCCCTGGTTCGAGTCCTGGTGGTGACAGTCAATTTTTCTTCAGACTTTTCCCGTTTGTCTCTTTCCCTCAAATCAGTCAATAATAATAATAATAATAATAATAATAATAATGCCGTTAAGTTGTGTTCCGCTTGATGCGCGCGATTGTCGTCCTCGCCGTGGTCGTCCTCCAAAATGTGCTGTCCAGTCCATCGGTGGATCTTCCTCTTCCCGTGAAGATGTGACTGCATGCCCGTCCTCCTCTGCGTGTGTAGGACACGGGTCAGCTGAGAACAGCATAAAAGATGGTGAAAGACCCACACGTAAACCACCGAAACTGACAAAGGATCTGTCGGCGTCGGAAAGGGTGACGAGAAGCCAAGTGAAAATACGGACTGATGAGGACGAACGTACAACGACAACGGAAGTGACAACAACAGTCAATATTCGAAAACGTGGTAGACCGCGAAAACTAACCTCAATATCGGACACCGGACAAGTTGGAGTTAGAAGCTCAATAGAAATCCGCAATGGAGGAGACGTAACGGAAAGGACACCGGGTATCGCGCACCCAACGGTTAGTGTCAAGAAACGTGGAAGGCCGCGGAAACGCGAAGAGACAGATAGTGGTGATGCCACGAAGAGGCGAGATGACGGGACATTGGAGGAGACAACACCCAATGGAGCTAAGAATCGCACTTCGTCAATCAAGCAACATCTGTCAGCCCGTACCAATTGTCGTGAGTTGTACAGTGATAATGTTTTCTCAATATTGTCACGTGGTAGATGTGCGTTACATTTGGCTGTGTTAGAAGCTTTGTATATCCGTAAGTTAGATCCTGAACTTTGCGTACAGAAAGAAAATGTGTTGTCGCTACAATTGTTTGGTGTTACTCCTCGTCGAGGTGGTAACAATGTAACTTAATTTGCTCACTATGTTGTTGTCACTATTATTACTTTCCTTCGAGTTTTGTGTCGTGCTAAACTTTTCCACCTTGTCACGAGTGTTGTTATCTAATTATCTTTACGCTATATAAGTTTTAGTCTTTCCAGCTTGAGCCATTCCCTGTATAATCCTTGATGAGAAGGGACCGAAAACGTTCGGATACTTATGACAAGTGCCTTATTATGACTGGATGTGTGTTTGCGTGGATATTTGCGACCCATAACTTACCTTCGTTTTAAAGTATTATCCGCCTCCGACCTCTTTTAAAAAATGATAATAATAATAATAATAATAATAATACTAAGGGAGTGATAAAATCATGTACATTTACATGTACATGCATACATGTATGTAGGCTGGTTACTGCACATACAATGCAGTAATTTCTTGTGTATTCAGCCTGTGAATGTGACTGATGTTAACGTGTGCACTCAGTTGACCGCGGTTTGTAAATACATGTATTAATGACTGTACACTTGCGGTTTCGATAAACATCCAGAACACAGCCTATGTAGACCACACGTCAACGGGACGCACCCGTATCAGCGTATGCTACTGATGTTTGCTATCACGTCACTTTTATTATTGTGAACTCACGGATGATCTGTGTTGGTGATCTGACTCTCTAGATGCCGTTCTTTATCTACTCGTACATACGTGCATGTACACCGCCCCCATCGGTCTTTGGCACGGTCGAACAACCCAGTGAGTGCTTTTATCTGTAGGCACTAAGCAGAGTGCTGTCATGTAGCAATAGTAGTCGAGTACAGTGGGTAGTA